TGAGGCCAGGGGTCATCAGGAGCGCCAGACACCACCGAGATTTGGGGTGCTGTAGTCTTAACTTATTGATCTGGGAGAAACCTCTGGTTTACCCGCTGTTTCTGTACAGATGGAGAAACTGAGGCCCAGAGAGGACTAGCACCCCCAGCAAGACAGTGGCAGAGACAGACCTCTCTATTCCAGGTATTTGGACTCCCACTTCAGTGCTCATCTCACTGTATCATGCTATGGTCAGGGGGAATTTGCAAGGAGGTGGCTTTATCTGCTGCTGAAAAGCTGTCTGGACCAAACTCCAGCCCAGAGGAAAGGGGTAGCCTCGTCTGAGCCCACAGCCCAAACTAAACCCTCTGTGTGCCCATCTGGAAACATCCACCTTCTCCCACAAGGGCTCTCTTCCCCAGCCCCTGACTGCACTACTGAGGCTCTCTCTCCCAGCCTAGACAGAGCCTTCCCCAGGCTAGGCCTTGCACACTGGGGGGCTACCAGGACATGTGAGTGTCTGAATTTCAAATTTTTATATTACAGACTTATTTTCATGTGAATTAGAAAAAACATAATGAATACTACATCAAACCCATGATTTCACAGATAATATTGCTCCAGATGAGGCTAACAAAAATTAAAGTGATTGGTTTCAAATGATTTAAATAATGCTACATAAATAATGTGGAACACAGATGTGGCTTACAGTATCTAATAACTGAAGTTGGGGACCTACTAGAGGGGGTTCTGAGAATACCAGGTCGGAAGGCCAGGCAGGTGACCCGGGGCAGCCTTGGTCATTCCCTGGATCATGCCTCTCTCTCCCCAGCCCAGCAGTTGGTAAGAACTAGCCCACAAAAGAGGAGTCATTTGCCCTCCCAGAGGCAGTTTAAATGGGCTGTTTCAGGGAGGCCAGGAAGTCGGACTCTGCCCCATCTCTCGCTGAGTGACCAGTTATGGATGAGTCACTTCACGGGGACCCACTGGTGTGCCTGGCTCCCAGGTGCTGGTTGGTGAGAATCAGACTGACCGTCTTCTCTCTTTCTTCCTGGCCAGTCTGAAGATGGCACATCTCCATGTAAAGGGAGAATGGCTTTGACAAGGCCAGGTGTTGTCAGGAGGCCAGAGATTTCAGGGTCAGGGTCAGTGCGACCCGTTGGAAATCCTGGAGGCTCTGGAGTCCTGGCTGCTGCCTCCTGGAGCCTCAGTCTCCTCTTCTGTGAAATGAGGAATGGCTGTGCTGAAGGGATTGTGAGAGCATCTTGCAAAGTGCCCCTCTGAGGGGGACCCAGTGCAGCTGGTGGCGAGCCCAGTTCCGGGCTGGGGCCCCCCTCGGCCACCCACCTGCTGCCACGGTGTCTGTGCAAGGCAACTCCCCTGCCACCAGAGATCTCCTGCTCATCAGCCTTTTTATTGCCCTGTACACAATCAGGGGAAGCCTGGAAGGCCGCAGGCGCCCAGACAGATGGAAAACAAAGAGAGAAAACAAAGGCTGTGCTCCAAGGAGGCCAAAAGGCACCTGCCTCCTCCCTCCCGCCTGGCCAGCCTGCTCCGCCACCACCGGCCTCAGCCACCCCCAGCTGCAGGGACCTGCCCCACCCTCCTGAAGACCATCCTTAGGCCTCGCAGGGGGTATCGCTCGCTGGGTAACCCTCAGGAAGTTGGTTCTCTCCAAGCCACCTTTTCTTATCTGTCAAATGAGGGAGTTGGAAAATATGCTGTGTGACCTTCAACAAACCTCCCCTCCCCACCCTACTTGGGGCTCTTTGGAGCAGGCCTTACCCATCTCTGGGACAAGCCCCAAAAGGTCGAGGTGGTGCCCACCTCTGCCCATGGAGAGGACCCCGCATGCCCTCTGCCCTCAGCAGGGGGAGGCAAGCAGGTGCCGAGATCTTGGAGCTGAACGCTCAGTGCACGTGTGTGGAATGAGTGAATAATTTTGTCAGAAGGGGGCTAACTTAGCATCGGCCCTTGATTGCTGCTGCTGTTGGAGTCTCTCAGGAAGGGAAAACTGTCCTGGCCCCTCAGGAGAGGTAGCAGAGAGAAGCGGTGAGGCTGGCAACGGCCCCAGTGCCAGGCTGTCTGGGTTCCTGTCCTGGCTGTGTGGCCTCGGCCTGCTTTCTTCACCCCTTGTCTATTTCTTCATCTGTTAAAATGGGTGCATCACCTACCTCAGACGTTGCGGTGAGGTTATAAAGGCCCTTTCATGTTATGTATGTATTATTGTTATTCTGGTCATCAATTTCATCACTATTATTATAAAGAGAAGGGGACTTAGTTGGAAGCTCATGAAGCTGAAGCTCCCAGGCTCCTCCCCTGCACAGCCCGAGTGAGGCTGGGAGTTGCTGGGAACTACAGAGTGTTCTAGACAGGGAGCAGCAGCAGGTTGTAGTCAGGAGCAGTTTTAGTAAGTTGTTTAAAGGTGCCTCATGAGAAAGGGGCCAGAAGCCCTAAGGCTTTAGGAATTTGCTATGATTTATTTTCTGATGCTAAATGTATATTTATAATTTTATACATTCTTTTTAAATGGGCCTCCAAAATTGTATAAGCTTCAGGCCTTGCGAACCTGAGCCTCTCCTGATCATTCCTGTGACCGTTATGGTATTTCTGTGACCCTGCCCTGTGCTGTGTGTGGTGCCTCGCTAGTCCCAGGAGGAGGACAGCTGTGTGCTTTTCACTCTGTGGACAGCTGTGTTTTGTGCAGTCTCACCCTGAGCAGCTATCCACACCTCACACCCCAGACCGAGAGAACCAGAGCAGGCCAGACAGGGAGAACTGGACCCTCAGGGAGGGGAAGGTCTCTAGAAGAAGGCTCGCCTGGGTGTACGGGACACTGTGCCTGGAGGCCTGGTGCCCAGCCCTGCTGCCCCCACTCACTGTGGGCTGAATGCCACTGTGCTGCAGGCTGGGACCCTCTCGCCTCCCCCTAGCCCCCTGCCCCACGTACGCCCCAGTGGACAGGCCTTGGAGCGGTGGGAAGCAGGTTGCTGAGTTGGAACGGTTGCTCCTGCAGGGGTGGCTGGCTGTGTGCCCAGCCCCGTGCTCAGTGCTGGCTGGAGGCCAGGATGGTCCCTGCCCTCTGGGAGCTCTCGGGGTAGCTGGAACCACAAGATTCGCACCTGGAAGGATGAGGAATGGGCAGGACAAGGCAAGTTAGACCTCGTCGTGTCAGGCCTCTCAGAGAGAAGAGTAGAGAGCCCAGTGGTCATGAGGGCTGGACACTCGGACAGGGCCTTTGGGAGGACAGGCCCTTGCTGGGGAGGCCTCAGGGTGGGTGCTGTGGGCTCCAGTGCTCCGCTGGCAGCAGGGCCTCTCAACCCAGGCTCTGACAGGGACATTTATAACTCACAGCTGTGCGGTCCTGGGCCCAACTGACTGTGGTAAACCGATCTGGCTTCAGGAAGTCCCATCCCGAGGCCACTCCCCACCCGACCCCCACACTCTCCTTCACCTCCTGACACCCACATCCTGTTCTCAGCGGGAGGGGCAGGCAACCCGGGCATGGGACCAGGGCCCAGCTGGGGTCTCCAACCTGCGGGCAGAGCAGGAGAGGACAGAGAGGGTTAGTGAGGCCCGAGAGCTGTGGGGCCTCCAGGATCATCAAGGCCTGCCCCTCAAGGCACACACGGGGAGACCAAGGCCCGGAGAGGCCGAGGAGCCGCCCCAGGACACCACAGGATCAGAGGACTAGGAATGCAGGCTGTGGGGCTCAGGGACATGTTCTGTGCTTCCAAGTCTACCTAGACAGGGGATTGTACTTCTAGCCCCTGCTGACCAACTCCGGCCCAGGGAGAGCCAGCGGGGAGGGGCAGAGGTGACCAAGGTTCAGGGAATGCTGGGAAGAGATGTCATTCTGGACCCTGGGCCTCGGTGCGGCCTGTCACCCCATCCCTGAGGCGTCGTACACGTCTGCCTAGATTCCCACAGCAGAGTTCAAGTGTGGGGCTCAGAACGGCCTTGCCCAGTGCTGGAAAGAGAGGACAGTACTAAAGTCTCCCGGCACGCATGACTTTGATCTCCTTACCTGCTGTGGCCTGATTGCTGACTGATTCCTGGGCCCTGTCAGCAACCACCCCTCCTCCATGCCTCTCTCTCCCCCTGTGTTCTGAGAGGTGAGCTTAGCCCACGTCACTCTGGTGGTCTGTGACAAGATTCTAGAACCAGACAGTACCCCCCAAAATATGTCGTCTTACTAGTTATATATTTATTAAGGTGTACTAGAAATATATAACTAGCATATCAAACCAGTTATTTCATGGATCTGATTGCTTTGGACAAGGCCGGATTTATTAGAGCTAAAAAAAAAAAGTGAGTTTAAGTCAAGTAAATATTAATTAAGTCATCATACAGGCAGGACTCAGCTCTGGCCAAGAACCCCGAAGGGCATATGAGAAGACCTGAAGTTTGGGGAAGACAAACTAAATCATGAGCAGGGCTCTCTTCTGCTTTAAGCTCTGTTTCTGGGCCAGGAGGGGAGAGGCAGGAGCGGACCGGCCTTCCCCAGAAGGTGCGCGCATCAAACGGCTCCAAGCGTGGGTCAGAGATCTGGTGAGCAGCTCATCATGAGGAAAGAATTCAGGCTGGGGTCAGAGAGTGGCTTTGGAAGTGGCTGCCAGCCGGCCAAAGCCAGGCACGGTGCAGAGAGGAGACCACGGCAAGGGCTTTGTATGCCTGGCTAAAAATACCACTGACAGCTTCTCCCTGTCACCCTGCCTGGGGGCCGCACAGGAAGGTGATGGCTTTCTCACCGAGAAGAGAAAAACACCAACACAGAGTCCCCAAGCCCCAGAAGAAACAAAACTTATATATATATATTTCAAATCCCTCTAGGAGGAGCTGGCCTGCTCCTTGGAGTGTGGCTGGGCGGGGACGACACAGCCAGTTCTGATAAATCAGGCATCCCGGGGCATGCTTAAGTGGCCCAAGAGGCCACCGAGATTAGCTGGCGGTGGGGAGAGAGGTGGGAACTGCCTGTGCCTTGCCTGCTCACATGTCCGTCTCTCCCCATGTGTACGCAGGAGGAAGAGGAGGAGGCCCGCCGGCATCAGACCAATGCTGGAAGGGGTGTGAGGAGAGGAACCGCCGCCCGTCTCCGAGCTGCCAGACCCGGAAGGTAACACCGAACCTCCGTGCCCTGGTGCCCAGGCCATGCCACCACCTTTGCCCAAAACCTGGGAAGGGGCAAGGTCAGGTGGCCGGGAAGTGGCGGGGCTGGACCAGAGCTGGATCAGCGTTGTCAGTCCCTTCTCCCAGCCCTTCTTGACCTGAGCTGCCGGGCTTCTCTGTAACTCCTCGTGGGGTGCCTGTACCACCACCAAATGCTGCTGGGATCCAGCTCGTTCATCTGTAAAATGGGTGGTGGCCTCAGGCCCTCCACTTACTCCAGTTCTCAAGGGTTCTGTGGATTGGTTAGTTCTGATACTATTCGGAGTTAAGCCATGTTAGCAGCCTGGCTCAGGTTGTACTCTGGGGGGCGTAGCCAGGAGTCCCAGCTTATAATGTAGCATTACAAGGCCACAGGGTCAGCAGAGCCAGGTGGCGCTTGAGGGGATTTTCTAAGGCAGACCTAGCGAGAGGTGTGTTTTGCTGGAGATGTGGCTGTGGTCTCCTTTGTGGCAGCATTTGAAACTCCAAAGTGGTTTCTCTGGCAGCTCTGGGCAAGAATTATTATCTGTATTTTCAAACCATGAGACCAAGGCACAGAGAAGTTAAAGGGTCTGCCAGGAATCACAAAGCAAGCCCTGGCCACACCAGTGCAGCTCACCTTTATACTATGTAGCATATCAGCATCTGCACTCGTACTACACTTCTCTAGTCTGACCCATCCTCTCCAGAGAAGTCCTGCTGTCGAGCTCAGGCACCTACAACTCTTCATCGTGTGTGCAGGGTGGGACCAGCCATCCATCTACCCACCCATCATCTATCTGCTCTCCTATCCATCTGTCTGCCCATCCGTCCTTCTGTCTATGTACCCGTCTTCTCACCCATCCATCCTCCCACCCACCACCCATTTATCTATCCATCCATCTACCCACCCACCCATCTACCTCCCTATTCTCCCACACACCTACTTCCCCATTCATCCATCCATCCACTCATCTCTCCATCCGCCTGTTCATCTAACCATCCATTTACTCTTTAATTCACTCAGCTCTGGCCTGATTCACTCATCATGCATCAGGCCAGGCCTGCACTGGGAGCTGGGTTGGAAGATGGAACAGATTCAGCCCTGCCCTCAGAGGGCATCGTGTGCTATGGAGCCAGACTCATCCTATAAGGGCAATGCTCGAGGCTTGTGTAGTGTGCGTTTCTACACAGGAGAAGGGAGGAGGGGCCGTGTGCTGATTCTGCAGGTAGGCATTCAGGGAAGAGGAAGCAGCATTGCTCACCTGTTATTCCCCACACGTTTATTAAGTAAGTCACCGTGTTGGGAACTCTTGAAGTTTTGGAGATACAGCAGGAAATAAAACACACGAAACTCCCTGCCCTCATGACACTTATATTCTCATGAGGAGACGTGGACAATAAACACCTAAACAGTGAATGCGTAATATTTCAGGTAAAGTCACTGACAAGTTCTTACGTTTTAAGGAGAGAAATTAAGCCAGGCAAGGGCACAAGGTCTACAGTATGGAGTAAGGTGTTCTTTGGTAAGGGATGGTTTGCGTGTGAACAGAGACCTGAATGCAGCCAGGGAGTGAGCAGGGGTGTGCTTGGCATGTTCAAGAAAGTAGCAGGGAAGCTGGTGTGGCTGGTGTGAAATGAGAGGTAGAGGTGAAATGAGGGAGATGGTGGGGGACCCACTCAGTTAGGTGGCAAGCATGGAACAGGCTATTGCCCGATCCAGGTAGAAGTGGTGGTGGCTTGGACGAGGTGGTACAGGAAAGAGGTGAGAAGCCATTGAAGTCTGAATATATTTCAAAGATGCAGCAGGAAGGCTTGCTGCTGGATTAGAAGTGGAGGATTAAAAAAGACTGGGACAGTCGAGGAAGGCTCTTGGGTTTGGGACGGAGCCAGTGGCAGAAGGGAGGTGGTCGTTTACTCAGCCAGGGGTGGTGGCCAGGGAGGGCTGAACGGAGCCGAGGAGCCCTGTTCTAGACGTGTTAAGTTTGGGATGCCTTTGAGACATCCAAGTGGAAAGGTTGAGTAGGCAGCTGGATGTGTAAGTCTGGAAGGCAGAGAGAGGTCCCGGCTGGAGAGATAAATTTGGGAGTTGTCGTGTCTAGATGGTGCTGCAAGCCATGAGGCTGATGAGATCACTGGGAGTGCGTGGAGATAAAGAGCATCAGAGGCCTGAGTCTGAGTCACGCAGCATCCAGCTCGGAGAGGGAGGGAGGATGGGAAGGGGAAAGTAAAAGAGGCTGAGAAGGTGCAGCCAGGGAGGCAGGAGGAGGACAGAGGGAGCAGGCTCCGGATGCACAGGGGAGAATCTGCTGGGCGAAGTGGGGAAAGGGCACTGCAGGCAGAGGGACCAGCATACGCAAAGGCTCAGAGGCCTCCGTAAATGAGCTGTGTTTTGAGAGAGGTGGTGGAGTGGGAAGAGGCACCAGAGCACCCTCCTCCCCAGGCCCTCGCTGTCACCCTGGCCGGCACTGCCTGGCCTCAGCTCTGAGCCTCTTGTGCTGATGTCTCTCTACTTTTACGCTTTCTTTTGAGAAGCTTCACCTAGCACTCCTGACCTTCTACCTCCCCGCTGGGGCTCTTGGGCCCATGGGACCTCCCCCTTGCCTGGAGCATTTGTCTGAAGGCACCAGGTCAAGGTGCCCACAGAAGGAAGGGCACCCAACAGCTCCCTACTGAATTCCTAAGCACCCCATGGATCCTTTATCTTCAAAGAAGCTCAAAACTTCCTAGGCTGTGAGTGAGTGTCAGAGCTGCCCGCCCATGGGGGAGAGGAGCTCTGAGCCTTTGCCGAGGACTTGTGTGTGCGTCTGTGTGGTTCCTCACTGCTCCTCTTCCTCACTTCATCCCTGTCTCTGTCTCTGTCCTCTCTCAGGCTCCACACAAACGTCAGCAGTGCTTCTCTGGGCCAGGACGCAGGCTGGGTGGCACCCTGGGGAGCTGGTGTGGCCCCTGCCTCCCAGGGGCTCTCAGCCTGCTCCCTCTCTCACTCAGCTCCTGGACACAGCCCTTTGGTGCTTAGGAGCCTGAGCCTGGCTTAGAATTCCAGCTCTACCACCCACCAGAAGTATGACTGGGGGATGCAGCTGCCCTGTGCTGGCAGTGCATGGGACGGGGAACCCAGAGACCCAGGGGAAAAACCAAGAGTTTCTTAGCCATCCCTCTCCTTTATCTGAGATTTGACCCTGGGCAAAGAACACAGATGCTGGGTCTCATCAGGCCCTCTCCCCTCCTCAGGGTCGGCTCCAGTCTCACCTCCTCCAGGAAGTCTCTCTTAACCCCTGTAATGTCAACCAGCATTAGCTAAACAACTGCATTGTGCCAAGCACAAGGCTCAAAGTGAGGTGTGCAGAAATGACGATGAAGGGTCCCCACCCTCTAAGAACTTGCAGTCCAGGTGGGATAGTGGGAGACAGGTAAAGAACCAGCAGCTCCCAGGGTATCAGTGAGTCCTGCAGGTGCCCAGCCATGCCCGGTCAGGGTAGCTTGCACAGAGGAGCAGCTGCCTGTGAACGAGTCCTGAGGCTGGGCTGGTGCTCAACAGGGCGTGCAAGGTGCAATAGGGGCTGGAAAGTAAAGTGTGCGTCCCGGCCAAGGGAGCCGCAGGAGCAGAGCACAGCCCATCTGTGGGAGTGAACACAGTCCGATGTTACTGGGACGTGAGACTTCTCCGTGCTGAGAACTGGTTGGAACCGGACAGGGACTTGCTGACCCCCTCTCCCTTGGGAAAGTGTCAGGAGATATGCCCCAGGGACTCTGCATCAGGGATCAGGGGAGCCAGCGGAAGCCGCTCTGGTGATGTGTGGTTCCATGCAGGCTGGTGGCAGGAGGCTGCAGGTAATCTAATTAGTGTGCCAGGCAGATGGGACGAGTAATCCTGTGCCTTTAGGCTCACTTTCTTTAAGCCAGTCTCCATCCATTCTCTCCTTAAATCCTTCCAGTGCTTTGGTGACATTAGCGGGACTGGACTTACCTCCATTGAACAGACGGGTAAACCAGGGCTAGAGAGGAGAAAGTGTGCACGATGTCACAGCTACTGCATGGCAGGGAGGAGCTTTGAACTGGGCCTGCCCAGCTCCCAGCCCACGCTCTTAGCACTGCCTTCTACCATCTCCCGGGCTCTCCTGGAATATCCAGACTTATAAACTGCCTCTCCAAGATCCCTATTTTGTAGGTGAGGAAACTGAGGCTCTGAGAAGGTGAGACACTTGCCCAGGGCCACACAGCAGGTCAAGGGCAGAATGGGCACCAGAATCCCATCTGGCCTGGTGGTGCCGCTCACTTCCACCCTCGGAGCAGGCGCAGGGATCCCGCCTGGACCCTGCCCAGTTCCGCGTGCGCCCCTGCGGTGTTCCAGCAGCCTTTGACACTCCTCCGGTTGAAGGCACCAAGTTCCTCATCAGAAGCCTCCATTGTGCCTATTGTTTAAATATAGATTACTAATGAAATGCCTTTTCATTGCCTTCCCAGTGAATAGTTTCCGTGTAAAGTTAATTTGCAGTGTTATGTAAATTCTGTTTCACTTCAATCAAGTTTCTAATTATGTTTTTACCGCAGTAATTCCCATTTGATTTGTCATCTCCTGTTCGGTATTTAACGTTTGGTGGGCGGGTTTGCTTTCCGTCCGTCTGTCTGTTTTCCAAGGCCCTCTCCCTCCCTGACCGGCTGCTTGCCTTTCTGTCTTTCCGCTTGGCTCCGGGCGTCTGCCTCCCGCCCTGCTTCTCTGCAGCTCATTTCCCACCTCCTCCCCAGCCTCCATCTCTCCCCTTCCATTTCCTCGTCCTTTCTGTGTTGTCTCCGTCCCTCCGACAGGTAAAGAACCAGCAGCTCCCAGGGTATCAGTGAGTCCTGCAGGTGCCCAGCCATGCCCGGCCTCTCCCTGTTCTTGTTTGGGTCCCCCCATAATCTCCTTCCCCCAGGTTTCCTTCTCGCTCTTCCCCAATGCCTGCTCCTCTCCCTCCCCTCCACCCTAGGGCCCTCCACAAAGCAGAG